AATATAAAATTACAGCCAATTCGGTTGCAAAATGTGTCCAAGTACCCTGAAACTTGAGCCAATTTGGATAATTTTTGGTAGGGAGATTTGCTATTCAATGAGAACCCAAAATACCAAATTATGACCGATTCGGTCGAAAAACTCTCCAAAATAACGAAATTTGGCTGGTTCTTTTGTGTGGGGGCTATATAAAATATTGAACCGATATTGATCATTTTTGGAAGGTTACGGTTGAAAAACGTAAAGCAAATCCTTACAATATCAACATTCGGAAGGTTCCGTTATATGGTAGCTACCCTAAAAAATAAACCATTATTGATAATTTTTAGTAAGACGATTGGCTACCTAATGAGAACCTTAAATATGAAATTGAAGCCAATTCGGCTGAAGAAACGCGTACAAAATCTCATAAAATCCGAAATTCGGCATGTACCCTTATATGGGGGTCATCCTGAAAATGGGGGCGAATTTCAATAATTTTTGGTAGTGAGATATGCTACTCAATGAGATGCCTAAGTACCAAATTCCAGCCAATTCGATTGAAATACATGCTCAAGCCCCCCAAAATATCGAAATTAGGGAGATTCTCGTATAGGGGGCTACCATAAAAAGTAGGCCAATATGGATAATTTCTGGTGGACAGATTTGCTACCCAGTGAGAATCCAAAATATCAAATTACAGTCCAATCGGTTGAAAAACGTAACCCAAATCCCCAAAATATCGTAAATCGGCAGGTTCCGTTATATGAAGGCTATACATAAAAGTAGACCAATATTGATAATTTTTGGTAGGACGATTTGAAACCCAATAAGGACATTAAATGTGAAATTGAAGCCAATTCGTTTGAAAAAACGAGACCAAAACCCACCAAACCCCGAAATTCGGAAGATTCCGTTATATGTTAGCTACCCTAAAAGGGGACTAATTTTGATAATTTTAGGTATGGAGATTTGCTATCCAATGAGAACCTAAAATACCAATTTAGAGGCAATTCGGTTGAAAAACGTACTCAAGCTCCCCAAAATACTGAAATTAGGGAGGTTCCGTTTTAAAGGGGAATACCCTACTATTATGTATAATTTTTGGTAGGAGGATTTTCTATCGCATCCTAGCCCAAATTCCCAAATTACAGCCAAATCGGTTGAAAAACGTCTCCATTGCGTTGTATGGGAACTACCCTGAAACTTGAGCCAATTTTAATAATTTTTGGTGGGGAGCTTTGCTACCCAATGATAATCCAAAATACCAAGTCCTATCCAAATCGGTATAAAAACATGCTAGAGCTCCCCAAAATATCGAAATTAGAGAGGTTCTGTTATATGAGGGCCAACCTAAATAGGAGGCCAATATGGATAATTTTTGGTAGACAGATTTGTTTTTCGCGTGCTAAGCAATATTCCGAAATTACAGCCAAATCGGTTGAAAAACGTGTCCAAATTCGGAAAATACCGAAGATCGGAAAGTTGCGTTGTATGTTAGCTACCCAGAAACTTGTGCCAATTTTGATCATTTTTGGTAGGGAGATTTGCTACCCAATAAGAACCCAAAATATCAAATTAGAGGTGATTCGTTTGACCAAAGTTTACAAAATAGCCAAATTAGGGAGATACCCTTATATAGGTGTCACCCTAAGAAGTGCACTAATATTTATAATTTTTGGTAGGAAGATTTTCCAGTCCAAGCTAGGCAAAATTCTAAAATTGCAACCTGACCAAAGTTTCCAAAATAGCCAAAATAGGGAGATACCGTTATATAGGGGCCAAGAAGAGCACTAATATTTATAATTTTTGGTAGGAAGATTTACCAGTCCAAGCTAGGCAAAATTCTCTAATTGCTGCCAATTCGGTCTTAATTTCGAAAATATCGAAATTCGAAAGGATCCGTTATATGGGAGGTGCCCGGTAACTTGAGCCAATTTCGATAATTTTTGGTAGGAAGATTTGCTACCCAATGAGAACCCTAAATACTAAATTCCGGCCAATTCGGTTGAAAAACTGCACCCAAAATCCCCAGAATATTGAAATTCGGGAGGCCAACATCGATCATTTTTGATAGGACGATTTGCTACCCAATGGGATCCTTAATATGAAATTGAAGCAAATTCGTTTGAAGAAACGTGACCAAAATCCGAAATTCGGCATGTACCTTTATATGAGGGCTATCCTATAAAGTGGACCAATTTTGATAATTTTTGGTAAGGAGTTTTTCTACCCTATGATTATCCAAAATAAAAACCAGTAAGGAAAGTAGTAAAGTCTGACGGGGCCGACTATATGACACCCTTCACCACTATGGGTATATTAAACAGGGCTATTAACATGAAATTTGATGAAATAAAATATGTGATATTTATCTAAATGTGAATCGACCTAGATCTATCCATAAATTATGTAAATCGACTTCAAACAAATATAAAGAGGTCATCCGTTGGGCTATGTCTGTGCTTCTAGAAAACGCAACTACGCAATTTTGTACGTTGTGCAAAATTTGATGTCAATATGACATCAATCGGGCGAAAATATATATGGAAGCTCTATCCAAATATTAAGCGATTTCAAACAAACTTGTCACAGGTTAGGTTATACTAATCTCAGAACGTTTTGTTCCTATTGGTTCCTTGGTGCGTCAATTACTTAAAATCAATCTATAATAAAAGGGAGCTATATCTAAATCTAGACCGATTTTCTCGAAACAAGGCAGACATCACTCTAGGCTCAATTCAGTACGTTATGCCAAATTTCATGCAAATCGAAAGATATATAGTGACTTTGGTGCACCATTTACATGAAATCGGACGAAACTATATGTGGGAGCTATATAGAAATCTGGACCGATGTTCTCGAAACCTTGCAGACATCACTCTAGGCTCAATTCAGTAGGTTATGCCAAATTTCGTGCAAATCGAAAGATATATAGGGACTTTGGTGCACATGAAATCGGACGAAATTATATATTGGAGCTATATCTAAATCTGGACCGATTTTCTCGAAACTTGGCAGGCATCATTCTAGGCTCAATTAAGTACGTTATGACAAATTTCGTGCAAATCGAAGGATATATAGGGACTTTGGTGCACCATTTACATGAAATCGGACGAAACTATATATGGGAGCTATATCTAAATCTGGACCGATTTTCTCGAAACTTGGCAGACATCATTCTAGGCTCAATTCAGTACGTTATGCCAAATTTCGTGCAAATCGAAAGATATATAGGGACTTTGGTACACCATTTACATGAAATCGGACGAAACTATATACGGGAGCTATATCTAAATCTGGGCCGACTTTCTCGAAATTTGGCAGACATCACTCTTGGCTTTATTCAGTACGTTATGCCAAATTTCGTGCAAATCGAAAGATATATAGGGACTTTGGGGCACCATTTACATGAAATCGGACAAAACTATATATGGGAGCTATATTTAAATCTGGACCGATTTTCACGAAACTCGGCAGACATCATTCTAGGCCTAAATGATTAGACTGTACCAAATTTCGTGCAAATCGAAAGATATATAGGGGCCGTTTACATTCAATCGGTTAAATATATATATGGGAGCTATATCTAAATCTGAACCGATTTTTCCCAATTTCAATAGGGTTCTTCCTTGGGCCGAATAAGTGACCTATGCCAAATTTTATCCAATTCGGATCATAAATGCGACCTGTACTTTGTTTACAATTTAACATGGACAGACAGACAGACGGACAGACGGACGGACATGCATAAATCCACTTAAAAAGTGATTCTATGCATATTCTCAAAAGGAACTGTCTATCTCGTTTCCTTTTGCCTGTTACAAACATATGCACAAAGACATAATACCCTGTACCACAGTGTGGTGAAGGGTATATAAAATTACAACCAATTTGGTTGACAAATGTGCCCAAAAAAACCCCTATATAACGAAAATTGCCCCAAAACTTCCTAAAAATACTGACATTTTGGGAGGTATAAAAATCCACTCACACGTGAACGTATTGCCACGTGACGAGCTATCAGCTATTGTGAGCCTATTGGAAACCTATAGCAGTATAACTTGCAGTGATAACAGATGTCAAAAAGTGGGACTTCAGCACAAAAAAATACGTCAATAAGTCTGAAAGTGTTATACACTCATAAAAAATGTTAGTAAAAAACATAATAATAAAAAAGTAAATGGCTCAAATTCTGCTGAAAAAAAACCTTTGATAAAAAATTCTAATGACCTTTTAAAAAATTATTCCATAAAAATTCAAAAATTTAAAAAAAATCTAGTGACAATTTAAAAAATTATTCCATAAAAATTCACACCATAACCTCGAATGGACCCTGGAGAAATTTAAAAATATTCATCACCTCCACCACTAAATTTCAATTTATTTACTAGGCTTGATTTCTCTGAAATATATCACAATTAGAATAGGGTTGGGTATTCAATTCCCTTTACTAGGATATCCCTTATGCTATAATCAACTAATATTTTTCTTTGAGTGTATTGTGTCTGGGAATAATTTTTTGGGGATTTGATGGTATAGGGTATTCGATAGCATATTCTAAGATATTTTATTATTACTTCTTTTTTTACATACACCAACATCAACTAACATTTTTCTTTGGGTGTATTGTCCCTGGGTCCTTATTTTTACTGATTCCATGGCATAAGCTATACCAAAATATATTTTATGCTATTTTTGTATTATTTCCTATCAACCACCAAATATCAACTAAAATTTTTCCTTGAGTGTATGATGCATTTTAATGTAAACTAAAGGTTTTTCCCTAATCGCCTGAAAAAAAATCACACAAAGTAAAACAATAATAACAAATTCTACTGAATAGCTGAGAACATCCCCAAAGCAATCCATTTGCAATTGACACTTGAAAATTGAAATAGCAAAAACAATAACAATAAGAAAAATAAAAACAAAAACAAATAACAACAATAAAGATAGGAAACTATAAAAACCACATTCCCCAAACAATTAGCTAAACAATTGCCGGCATACCGTTCACCATGAAATATTGGTTAATTTTTAGTTTAATCTGTGGCCTATTGGCTCTCAATGGAGGTAATAAAAAATATTGCATTTTTTTAATTTGAAAAAAAATAATAAAAAAATATTTTTTTTTATTTTTAGCATCACCCCTACCAGGAGGTGGCGGCGGAGGCGGTGGTGGAGGTGGTGGCCGTGGCTGTAACTGTGAACCCGGAGGTGGTGGAGGAGGCGGCGGCGGAGGAGGGGGTGGTGCTGGTAATGGCCCCGGAGGTGCTGGAGGAGCTGGTGGACCTGATTGTGTTCGACCCTCATGGTTGCCACCATGCCCATAAATTCAAAAAATAAAAACCAATGTTAAGATAGTTTTGTAAATAAATTAATTAAGAAAAATTAGAAAAAAAGGTTTAGAAATTTTTCAAAAAATATTTTTTGAAATTATCACAAGGCGTAGATTTATTGAAAAAATATTTTTTGTCAAGATGCCAAGGCGTGGATTTATTAAAAATTATTTTTATACCCTACACAACTATGTTGTCAGGGTATTATAGCTTTGTGCAGCCACAAAAGTTTGTAACGCCGCGAAATATTGGTCCTAGACCCGCCTTTAAGTATACCGATCGTCATATCTCGACTAGCTGAGTCGATCTACACATGTGTGTCCATCCATCCGTCTGTCCATTATAATTTGTAAACACGATACAGGCCACAGTTATGGACCAATCTTCACGAAATTTTGCCTGTAGGATGGGTTCTGTCCAATGAAGACCCTTATTGTTTTTGGTAAAGATCGGTTAATATTTAGGAGATGAACTGGACCAAATACTTAATTTTTGTCGGTTTTTCTGGTCGCTCTAGTGGCCGCAATTATGGTCCAAACATACTTGAAATGAAATAAACCAAATACTTAATTTTTATCGGTTTTTTTTTTTGGTCGCTCTATGGTCCAAACATCGCGAAATTTTACATGGAGAAGAGAGTCGAGCCAATGAAAAAGCATGCTTGTTTTGATTAAGATCGGTAAATATTTAGCGGGCCAAATGGAACCTGACTTTTGTGTGAAAAATTACAAAATTTGTATTCTATGGCGTATATTTTTGCCCCCGCAGGAAATAGACCCGATAAGTTTATAATATATCCAAGAGGAGAGGATAACCTTTGAATGAATACCGATTATATTGTCGTATGTACTCGGATGTGGGAGTTACACTTAAATATTTACAGGTGCTTACGTATTCAGATATTATTTAGTAAAGCATTAACACACTGCAGGGCGGAAATATAGAGCTGATTGCTTTGATATGTTCCATGACGATTCAAGTATGATCAAGGACATATAATTTTCGGTAATGATCAGATAGTAATATTGGGATGAAATGAACCGACAACTTATTTTTTGTGTTTTTTTTTCGATTCGATCTATAGCCCACAATAATAAGCCGAACATCACAACGCAACCCACGGTGAAGGGATTCTGGACAAGTAATTAGAAGGGTTGTACTGAATATTAGTAATATTCGGAAAATGTGTCAGTGTAAGGAAGAGGTGCTGTTGACCTCTAATCGGGCAAGAGGGTGCAAATATCACGAAATACTGTCCAGGCACGGAATAAAAATCCGCAGAAAATTTCGTGGTAGTTATATAGGGTATCGTATGGTCGGCCCCGTCCGATTATACTGCTCCTCTCACTGGTTTATTGTTATATTTATCCAATTGTGTTGTGTTTCATATGACCATATGCAGGGTGCAGGTATTTCGTTCCAACTTTTTCACGCAAATCCGTTCAACATTTTAACTTTATCTTTGCTCATAAAATATCAAATTTATTCCTCAATATGTTCCGTAAAATTTTATAAAAATCATTTACATTTCGAAAATTTGTTCTCACTTCATTTGCGAACATTTTCCGCTCAGTTATGAATTTTCTAAATATTTTCATAACAGTGTCGCTACTTGGTGCCGGTTTAGCTGCCGCTGCTGGTCAGGGAATATTTAGTAATATTTTGGGAAATATTGGTTCCATGTTGGATGGCTTAACATCGACTCTAACCCGGCCGCTGCTAACCACTGCTGGGCAATTAAGTACTTCGAAATTAATCAAGGGTATAGTGTCAACAACAACAACTGTTATGACAGAGGTAAGATATTCAATAGGGGGTGTTCGTGTGTATATGTGGGAAATTGATAAATGTGTATGTGTGTGTCGTTTTAGATCCCTGTGGTAAGCTCCACTTCGGAGGATGGATTAAGTGAAGATCCAACTTTGGCGGATGGCCAAACTTCAACGCCGCCGACGATCACAGCTGATTCAATTACCCCCGAATCTATAATAAATAATGGGCCAGTAACACCTAACCCCCAAGGGTAAAAATATGTGGGAATTCGGAAAAAATTGAAAAAAATACAAAAAACAAGATTTAAAAAAATATTTTTTTAATACCTAAAATGGTTGGATTTAATAAAATTTTTTCCGAAGTAGCCCCCAAGGCGTGGATTTATTAAAAAAATATTTTTTGTCAAGTATCTTGAGAAGTTTAATATGAGTACCTGCATATTGGCCTAGCTCACAGTGGCTGAGCCACAGTATCTTGAAGTGTTTTGTGCGAGTACCTGCCCATAGGCCTACCTCGCAGTGGCTGAGCCACAGGCGGATATGCGCCCACCAGCGCACCAGCACCGAAGTACTGTACCAATCGGAGAGCATGCAGAAGGCATACTTTCACCCTTGGTGAGGAGCGAAAACACAACCCCCGCGAAGCTCCCCAGGGGGCCACACCAACTGTCAGGCTGGATCAACAGATCCAGGGACACCTGACACCCGCGGTACGGAAAACATCCGCGCAGGCTCGAGACCGAAGCCTCTCCCAGTTTGACGCAAGTCCGGGCTGGTATCCCAAAACAAAAATACGACAGCATTCAAAAACCGCAGGCGTCAAGGAAAAACCTTGCCCCAACAAGGTCGAACAAATACACATAACACAAACAATTAACATGCTGTCCACACAGACTGTAAGCCGAAGCGAAAGTCCGGCCGGTCCACTACGAACGTTGCGTCACGAATAAATTCATACGTCACCCTCCCTTTGTCACTGTTCGTCCACCTTGTCCTCCACCTATCAACAACACAATCCCGAAGGATAGTGCTGTACCGCCTACTCTCCCCATCCACCAACTCAGAAGGCCTGAGCCAATCATCCTCATCCAACTGCAAATCACGCTTAAGCTTATACATGTTAGCCAAGCCAAGCAGCTTCTGCAACGCCTCTGTTGAAACTGTGCGACACACTGGCAAGCACGCTAACATGACGGCCCGCTGACACGAAAGGAGCTTCTTCTGCCCAAAGACATATGGGGCAGTTCTGTACCATATAGGTACACCATAAGTTGCGCAGGCAACAAAACGTCCACCATATATTATACGCCTATTCAATCCCCAATCGGTCCGCAAAACACACCTGATGGTCCCAAAGACGTTGTCAGCTTCTCTTTCAACCGATCGATCCATCATGAGATTCCATATACATGGACCACAAATGAAAACCTGTTGGCAACCACGCTGCACATCCCTCCAGACCGAACCACTGGCTCCCACGACACAAGCTTTCCTATCCCGGAAATAACTCGCCCAAAGAGCAATCTCCCCACACCCGGCCTCTGACAACCTTGTGAGCACGTTATCCCATAAAAGGAAGTCAAATGCGCTATTTGAAATTCACAAATATGCCAAGGACATATTTAGAATTTGACCCGCTCAGGTTATGTAGCACATGCCGCCACGCGCCCGCGAAGAATGTTCCCAACAAAAGCCCTATGCTCTCCCCCCACCCCGAAGTGGTTGTCGCAGAGCTGCTATGCAACCCCTGTAGGTCAACCTGTCTCTTAGACCCACCACGCCGGTACACACGTTATACTATACCCCATGGATCATCTCCATTGTCCCGTACAAATCTCCTCCAATTGTCTTCTTTACCTCTAGACAGCTCACGGGCCCACCATTTGACCTTACTCGGTTTCGCCTTACGTCATTGACGCTGCTCATCAACAAGCTAATCTTGTCATCTATGGTCCGTGCCCTTAAGTCCACTAGTGCCAAAGCCAATTCCCTGACACGATACGCATAATGCTCCCAGTTCACATCTCGTTCCTTCCAACCCCTGAAACGCTCAGTTCCCAATGTACGTCCCCTCGAAGTGGCCAAAAACTCAATGAGATTGTGGTCACTCACACCCCAGTCTTCGCAAATACTCAAACTAAAATGGTAAGCTGCCGTCACGTCTATGTCACTTACCCCGGAGGGACCATTAAAGGTATACTGCATAATGCTCCCAGTTCACATCTCGTTCCTTCCAATCTCTGAAACGCTCAGTTCCCAACGTACGTCCCCTCGGATTGGCCAAAAACTCAATGAGGTTGTGGTCACTCACACCACGGTCTTCGCAAATACTCAAACTAAAATGTAAAGCTGCCGTCACGTCTATGTCACTCACCCCGGTGGGACCATCAAAGGTATACCGCATAATGCTCCCAGTTCACATCTCGTTCCTTCCAACCCCTGAAACGCTCAGTTCCCAACGTACGTCCCCTCGGAGTGGCCAAAAACTCAATGAGGCTGTGGTCACTCACACCCCAGTCTTCGCAAATACTCAAACTAAAATGGTAAGCTGCCGTCACGTCTATATCACTCCCCCGGAGGGACCATCAAAGGTATACCGATCCGAGGGCTCATTTAAGATCTCGACGCCCCCCGCTAACACCCATTCACTAAGCGCTTCTCCTCGGATGCGTTTCCGATGATCAGATGTTGACCTGGTCATGTTGGAGAACCACAGCGACAAGATTGCGTTCGCGTCTAGCCCTAGGATTAGCGGACAGCTACTCTCGAGGAGTAGTACCGTATTCATATACCTTAAATATGGCTCCAAAGTTGAGCTGAATTGGCAGTAGATGCTAGCCAGCTACATCTTCCCTCCCGTCCATTTAACGGACACACACACCCTCAGGTGGCTACCGTACAGTCGACGTCACTGTCAACAACTATTGTAGCAGAGCCACATACCTCGTCCGGGATCATTTAAGATCTCGACACACCTCGCGCTTCTCCTCGGATGCGTTTCCGATGACCAGATGTTGACCTGGAGAACCACAGCGAGGAGGAGGAGGTCGCGTTTGCGTCTAGCCCTAGGATTAGCGGACAACTATTCTCGAGGAGTAGTACCGTATTCATATACCTTAAATATGGCTCCAAAGGTGAGCTGAATTGGCAGTAGATGCTAGCCAGCAACATCTTTCCTCCCGTTCATTTAACGGACACACACACCCCCTCAGGATGGCTACT